GACCCTGAGCCCTGAGCTTAGAATGGCCGTACTGGGTCAGACCAAAGGTCCATCTAGCCCAGTAGCCTGTCTGCCGACAGCAGCCAACACTAGGTACCCTGGAGGGGATGGACTGGCACCAAAGCCAAAGCCATTTTTCTCATTCCATCCATCTCCAGCCTTCCAAAACAGAGGCCAGGGACACGACTCCTACCCCCTGGCTAATACCACTCCATGGACCCAACCTCCGTGACTTTATCTCACTTCTCTTTAAACTCTGTTCTAGTTCTAGCCTTCACAGCCTCTTTCAGCAAGGAGTTCCACAGGTTGACTACTTGCTTTGTGAAGAAGAACTTTCTGTTGTTAGTTTGAAGCCTGCTACCCATTCATTTCATTTGGTGTCCTTTAGTCCTTATATTATGGGAACTAATGAAGAACTTTTCTTTATGCACCCTCTCCACACCACTCATGCTTTTATAGACCTTTATCATATCCCCCCTCAGTCTCCTCTTTTCTAAGCTGAAAAGTCCCAGTCTCTTTAGCCTCTCTTCATATGGGACCTGTTCCAAACCCCTGATCATTTTAGTTGCCCTCCCCTCTCCCACTCTCTCTCTTCCCCTCTCCCACCTCATTTTCCCAGTCTCCCTGAGTTCTGTTCAATAAAGAGAGTTTCTATTTTTGAACACACGTGTCCTTTATTTTGTACATCAGGAAGGGGGGTTAGGAAGGGGTAAGTGGAAGGAGGTGAGGGAGGAATGGAGTATGAACCCCTGATGGGGAGGACTGGGGTGGCTCTGCGGGCTCCTCGGGGTGGAAGCTCTCCTGCAGCCCCCCGATTGACCCCTCCCCCAGATGGCAGCCTGCAGCAAGTGCAGCCGGGCTGGTGGCTGAGTGCTGTGATGTGCCGAGTGTGGGCACTCAGGGCACTCCAAGCCAGGACTGCTTTGCTGTCCCTCATCGAGGTAGACAAGCAAGCGGGGTACCCTGAGAACTGTCTATCCGGGGTGAGGGTCGGGTCCCTTTAAGCACAGACCTCGGCTAGCCTGAGACAGCAGCTCTAGGTTCTAAGTCCTAATCTGATGCCCTGCCGGCACTGCTTCCCGCCAGCCTTAACCTCGGTTCAGGGTCCACTCAAGTGTGGACATGCTAGTTCGAATTAGCAAAACACTAATTCGAACTATTTTTTAGGTCTAGATGCGCTAATTTGAATTAGCTTAGTTAGTTCAGATTAGTGCTGTAGTGTAGACATATCCTTACTGCTGTAATAGCTATAAATAATCCCAGAAGGTTTTTGTATAGCTCTGCATTAAATGATGTGACACATACTGTTACACCTTGTAAGTTGCAAAAAAAAAAAAAAAAAAAAAAAAAAAAATTGTCTTGGAAAGTTTTGACTGACCCAGCCAATATTTTGCAGATTTCTAGTACTAACAAATTGACATGCTTTGCTTAGTGAAAAATACCATGGTTTGTTGTTTTGTTTTGCTTTTTACTTTTCTACCCAAACCAGTATCAAAATGAAGCTTGATCTTATTTCTATTAATGAGCTTTGGCCAATTATGCATTATAAATGTGCAACCTTCTTTCATGCTGTTTGAAGTGCTCACAAACTGGATCTTCTGTTACTAGATTTCACCAACCCAGTAACAAATGTGAACTCTTAAACCACTGTAAGAGCATCAAGTTACAGATGGTCCTCCGGGGCATTCCAGTCTATATTGCTCCCCAGGCAAGATGGACTATATCAGGGTCGGCAGCATCTGGCACATGTGCCATAAGTGGCACACAAGATGATTTTCAGTGGCAGCAAGGGTGGGGGAGGGGAGAAAGCCCCGAGCCTCACTGTGTGATCGGAAAAAAGCTGGAGCCACATACAGCTCCATGCATGCATGCGCATTCCCCCTGCCTCCTCCCCCCGGCTGGAGGAAAAAAGCAGTGCACCAGCACTGTAGGCTTTTCCCACTGCTCCATTGGCCAGAATCCAGCCAATGAAGCAATGGGAAGCCATGCCTGGGACAGAAAACCTGAGAGCAGCGCAGGGGGCAAAAGTACGGTAGACCTGGCCACCATCTTGCCCATGGAGGACTCTCTGCTGCCATGGCTGTCCCCCCACTGCTCTGCACACTGCTCCGCCTCCACCTCACACCTCCCATGTATGCCATGCACCCACACCCACCAGAGAGCCCCATAGGGTCAATGGAGTCCATCATCCAGGTGCCAGCAGGCTAGATCCTAGCCAGCTTGCCTGGATCCACTGGCCGGCCTCCCTGCACTCCTGGCAAGGCATGGCATACATTCCACACTTGGCCCAAGGGCCGCTAACATATTCCGTGTGTTGAGCAGTGTCTGGCTGCCACATGGTAGTGACTATTACAATGAATAAACCCTGTTACAGACACTAGAAAAAAAAAAGTAAGTGCCACCCAGACCCTGCACCCTCACCCCCTTCCATGCTGAGACCCTGCACCCGCACCTTACTTCTGCCCCTCCCCCTGGCCAGACACCCTAATCTCAGCCTGCTGCTACACCCCACCACCCACCCAGACCCTGCACCCAAGTGCAGGGAAGCACATGCGCACAGCTCCTCAACTCCCCACAGGAAAAGCTGGAGTGGAACTCAGGGCAGGAGACGAAACAGGGCGTACAGT